GAAAAAAAAAAGTGTGTGTCAAAACAAAAGTCATTAGGGAGGGTAAGCTACACACGAGCCAACCAACTAACACACACATGTCATGTCGCAGAAAAGACCACTGTGAAAACAGAAATAGGGAACAAAGACGGGGTAGGGGGACGGGACACCCTCCAACTGCCCTTGAGCAGGACATCAGACATATACATGGACAGGGACAAACCATTATGCTGGGGAACTGGGGAGTCATATACACATACATAGCAGCTTGGGAGTTAATAAAATACACAGACACACTAAAAATCTGTTAGCAAAGCAAAGCCTGTTTACGAAGCCAAAAATAAAAGACCCTCCATAGAAAGGAAATCCAAAAGGAGAAGATTTGAAATAAAAACCATTCCATCCACACTGAAATGATGAGAATTTGTCCAACCGTCATGGCCACTAACTTGAACCAGATGCTAAATATATATATATATATATCTGTAGAAACAAATCTTTTTAATGAATCACACGAATAATATACAATATTTTTACACATTAAATACAATTCTCTCTCATTATAAACAGGATACCGTTGGGCCCAGATTTAGGTTCAAACCGTACGCCTTCCAATTTTTCTGAAAAAAAATATCTGGAGCATGAAAATAGGATGAACATTTTTTTTTCTTTTTACACTGTCCTGAAAACCCTCTTTTGACCTCAGAGAATTGAGAAAAAAAATTATTTAAAAAATGAAAAAGGAAAGAAAGAATCGTGTATTGAAGTACACAAAAATGACAATAATATCATTTTCAACGGAAAAATGTTACGCCACACACGACACACGTTTAGTTTAGTTTTAGTAATAGTTTTACGGCACTTGCAACACAATAAGATCATAAAAGTGCCGAAGATAAGGGGTGTTACAAGAGAGGAACAAACATAAAATAAAAGGAGGAACGATAAGGATGATAGATGTTTGATAAGACAGAAGGAGCAAACCACACCAGAGCACCCCCCAACCACCCACTAGTAGCAGGTCAAATAGTACAAAGCAATCTTTGAGGTTGTTATTTAACACTTTGCAGTCACACAGCCAGCAGTACAAAATACCCCCCCCCCCATCTGGTCACCCAGGAAGGAGGGATGACAGCAAGGTCACCCAGGAAGGAGGGACGACTGCAAGGTCACCCAGGAAGGAGGGGTGACTGCAACGGACTTCTCGGGTTTGGAGCAGATCAGCGGCAAGTGACCGGAAACTAATCATTTTCAGCGCCGCATTATTGTGGCTAGTGACCGCAAAGAGTTAAGGAGTTGACTTTATATTTCCGCCATCATGCCTGAACACAAAAAACATCAAACTGTGTTTAGAGTTTTGTTTTAGATAAGAGTTTTACAGCACTAGCAACACAAATAGGTAACGAAAGTGCCATCAGAGACCTGAAACGTTACCAGAGAGGAACATTCAAAGAAATGAAGGAGAAGAAATGGGAAGATGATGCACGTTTGATAGTGAAGGAAAGAATAAGAAAAACCAGTCCAGACAATCTGCCAACCAACCATTGTGTGCAACAGAAAAATGGGAGTCACGGCCGAACAGCAGTTTCGCACATACAGTGTGGACAGGTGCTTAGAGAGGAACAATGCATAGACGCACATACAGTGTGGACAGGTGCTTAGAGAGGAACAATGCAGAGACGCACAAACAGTGTGGACAGGTGCTTAGAGAGGAACAATGCATAGACGCACATACAGTGTGGACAGGTGCTTAGAGAGGAACAATGCATAGACGCACACACAGTGTAGACAGGTGCTTAGAGAGGAACAATGCATAGACGCACAAACAGTGTGGACAGGTGCTTAGAGAGGAACAATTCAGAGACGTACATACAGTGTGGACAGGTGCTTAGAGAGGAACAATGCATAGACGCACACACAGTGTGGACAGGTGCTTAGAGAGGAACAATGCATAGACGCACATACAGTGTGGACAGGTGCTTAAAGTGAGAAACAAGATATACATGTATATATCACAACCATCCAATATTTCATGATAATGACATCATCAGTTTGCAGGATGGCGATTGGCAAAGAGTCTCACAGAACCACTTAATTACACAATCTGAATATAGTTGAACATTAGAAAAGCAAAAGAGCACAAGCGAAAAATTGACTGAAGAAACTATCAAAGAAACGCTCATTCAGCGATGGAGAATAAAATCAAAGGGAGTCTTGTGTCGTTCAGTCAAAAAATGTCAAGCCTGAACAAATATCAGCCAAGTCCTGGGTTTCAAAAAACACAAACCAATCATTTCAGGCTCGGAAATCAGTAAAATAAACACTTCAAACCATACACATAGTTTTTAAAAAAATAAAAAAACTGTTCTCTCTTCTGACAATTTTAACCCCTTCGTTGCCAGGGAGTATGCGTTCCTCTACAGTCAGCACTGATTTTCAGCTTAGCTCGTTTCTCGGGACAGCAGCCTAGAGTTTAAGTGTTAATGGACGTGCAGTCTAGAGTTTAAGTGTTAATGGACGTGCAGTCTAGATCTAGATCGTGACATACATCAGACACCGTGTCTTCAATTGTCACTTTTCTCACTTTTCCTATCCCCCATTTCCTCCCTTCTTACTCATAATTTCGATTAACCTGCAAACCTAAGTCAAAGTGTGAATTTATTTGACTTGAAGTCAATTTGATGTTTACGCTTTACGAGGGTGGGCAGCCACCCACAAGCCTCGGTCTATGTTTATTGATCTCTTGCAAGCCTCGCAGCAAAGTAATACTAGCAAATTTGGTACCGATACGCGTGTCTTTCATTCCCGAAGATGAATCTACGCAGGGCTTGAGGCTAAAACTTAGTACAGAAGAATTAGAGATAGGCAACGAAGGGGTTAATGTGTTGGGGCTTTCCATTAAGCTAAGTACTCCAATCTGGGAGCTTGTCAATTCCCAAACCCCCTTAAAACATTCAAATCTTCGCTTGACAGACAATGAGACCATAATTAAGTAAAGAGTCAATTTTAAAAAGTGTTTAGGTACAACAAAGGGTACCTGAAAAAGTTTTCAAAACTGGACAAAATTAATATATTCAATTTAACTTCCTTTTCCATTAAAAGCAACAACAACAAAAAAGAATTTTAAAAATATACACGGAAATCAACAAAGAAGTGTATAATGACGTATCTATCTGTGTGGAATTCACATTTCTAGGGGACGCCTATCAAAGAGAGCAAGAGAAGAGATCAAACAAATCACAGCAATGATCAAAACCAGATCTATGTAGACAGATGTCATGATGCGCGCACTGTTTACGAGCTTTGAAAAAAAGCCAAAAAAGCAATGAAATAACCCAACCTCTATATACCGTCCCTCAGAGATGAAGAGAAACCATCCACAGAATGACAGCAAGGAAGAGAATAACGATGATATTAGGTTTCTGAAATACTCTAAGCACTGTCTACGCCAAGTTCTACTGTAGAACACAACAACACACAAACTTCCGTTTTCTTTAGTTTCATTTTGAAAAGATAAGTAACATTCCTACATAACTCACAGACTATGAGAACCCAATATAATTTTTTTTTTTTTTAAATCAAGATTCAAAATTCTGAGTTAAACGTAACAAACAAACACTTTCTTGCCTATGACAGAATGACTTGGTAATATGATCACATTTGAGCCCAAGAATATTACTGAGCCAGCAAGCAAAAAAAAAAAACACAAAAAAAACCCAAAAACACCTTTAAAAAAAACTACCAAATAACATGTAATCAATAAAATACTCCTACACATTGCTATTGCTCCACACAGGACAGCTGCAATAAATAATCAGTGCATCAGTATGTACTCGAAATTACGAAAAATATGAAATACAAAAATATCACGATACGTATTCATGACAGCCGCCGTACACAGTGCCGGCCAGACGTAGGCCTATTCCCAGAGGCCTGTGGGACGCTGGTCAGGCGTCAGACACACTAGGCAAACAGTCTCTGGACATGAACACTCCCGGAACAATCCCAGGGCAAAGAGGAAATAGTTTTTGGACAAATAAATTTGTTCAGGTCACATCATAACCCCCCCCCCCCCTCCACCCCTCCCATTTTTGTATTTCTTTTTGCCAAATTAAAGTTATCAAACGATATGCTCTGAAGTTACAGTCGCCACAGCATGTCTACATATGCATGCGTTCCAAAAACAATAAGCAATAGACTTGTCTACACTTAGATCTGCTCATAGTTCAATCTAAAGCTGAAAAAATAACTGAATCAGTAGTTGTGGCAGAAGTCATGATAATCATAACAACAATAACACCAGAGCTTCTGTAACAGCTTAAAGCACCCACAAGAAAAAAATGTTTCAAAAAAGCCGACAGATTGAGCAAATAGACTCTACCTCCATCTACACCACTCTTCATGCATTGGCTAAAACAGCACCTGGACATGGATGGCTGGTGCCTCTATAAATAAATTATTGATGATCTGGTCTTCTTGCCTTTTAGTGAGAAAACCTTAGTCTAGACCAGAAACTCAAAGAAAAAAAAAAATAGAGGATTCACTGTTCAGATAGTCTTCCCTTGTCTCTTAGTTTTTCGTTTTAGTAAGAGTTTTACGACACTTGCAATATAAGGTCATATAAGTGTAGAAGATTGGAGGTGTTACAAAAGAGTAAAAAACATAAAAAAGAAGGAGGAGAGACAGAAATGATAGTTGTTAGATAGGAAAGAAGGACCAAACCCCACCAGAGCACCCGGCCAACCACCCACTCCCTTGTCTCTGAATGAACAAATTAACAATGCTTTGAAGGGGAAGCCCTTGTCCACAGCAAAACCCATCTTTAGAGTGTTCAGTAGGTATATTTACACCCCTATCAACACAATTCAGACCCGCCCCCCCCCCCCCCCTGCATAACAAGAAGACCTTTTGCATAGCTAGGTTACCCCAGAGACAAGTTAATGAAAGGTAGCCGCCTCTATCAAACTAAATCTTTAAAACGTAGCCGCCTCTATCAAACTAAATCTTTAAAAGGTAGCCGCCTCTATCAAACTAAATCTTTAAAACGTAGCCGCCTCTATCAAACTAAATCTTTAAAAGGTAGCCGCCTCTATCAAACTAAATCTTTAAAAGGTAGCCGCCTCTATCAAACTAAATCTTTAAAACGTAGCCGCCTCTATCAAACTAAATCTTTAAAAGGTAGCCGCCTCTATCAAACTAAATCTTTAAAACGTAGCCACCTCTATCAAACTAAATCTTTAAAAGGTAGCCGCCTCTATCAAACTAAATCTTTAAAAGGTAGCCGCCTCTATCAAACTAAATCTTTAAAAGGTAGCCGCCTCTATCAAACTAAATCTTTAAAAGTGACCAGACTACATCAAACTAAATCTTTAAAAGTTCCCAGACTACATCAAACTAAATCTTTAAAAGTGACCAGACTACATCAAATTAAATCTTTAAAAGTTCCCAGACTACATCAAACTGAATCTTTAAAAGTGACCAGACTACATCAAATTAAATCTTTAAAAGTTCCCAGACTACATCATAATGGGAAGAAAAGAGCAGAACAGGAAGCAATGGTGCATTTGGAAGGTGGGGGGGGGGGGTGTTTGAGAATTTGTTAATTACCCGTTTCATGTGAAAGTGATTCATTATGACCTGTGACCCTCTGTAAGTGCCACTGAACTGAAAGACAAAATTCCCAAAGGCAGAAACACGGATGGGATTTATTTCTTCCTTTTTAACCCATTGGAAGGCATCTGAAAAGGGAGTAAAATCACTAATATCACATCCACAAAGCCAGGAGTATCAGGGTCCACGGAACTTCTACGAGATTATTCCAGAAACAATCAGAATTTAAGCAGAATTGACATCCAAATTGATGGGTTAATTTCAGGGATCAATTATGCACACATCTGTGAACAAACAAATTATACAAGAAAGAAAAAATTATTCCACAGACTGTTTATTTATTTATCTCCACGTCATTTGGCGCATCTGACACATCCATCTCCTCATTAATAGTGAAAGACCCGGGAATGTCCAACAGAACGTAACAACAAAACCAGACGGCCAGCAAACGCCACGACCACCCAACGTCTCGGCAACTGCTCGAGTCCTTTCACAGCAGCGGCACTTTCTCATGTTGCGTTTCCTCCAGCGGAAGACAATAGCAACACGGCTGGGGAAAAGGGGGTTTTTGCTTTTACCTTTTGTCGGAACGTTTTTCCACATCTCCCATTGAGCTATACGTACACGTGTCGCGGCGCTTTGGAATCAGGCGCTCGTCAATTTGTGGGCGTGTGGAGTTTTGGGTATCAGCTAAAAGTTTATTCATTTGTCTTTTCAATGAAAAAAATACTCATCTACCTTGAATTAGAAGACTAGATATTTGCAATTGAAGGGGGTAGGGTCACCTGGTTCCAGTTATAACATTTGTGAGAAAAAGTTTGGTAACTTCAAAAGCTTGAGAGTCCTTGAAACTGAAAAATTACATATCTTATGCCTTCAATAAATGTCTTTAGTACAACCCACAAGGAAATGTGGGGGGTTTTTTTGTTGACGTAAAAGGAGTTGAGCCAAAAAAATTCATAAAAATTGCCAAACTGGCTAAAAAATGCCTTTTTCTTTGATTTCCATATTTTGACGAGCGCCCGATTTCACCACGATGCCTCACAAATATCAACCACGAACGGCAGAACAGAGCACACCGTGAGTCCGGCTTTTGAAACCGCTGAGCACAGAAAACTTTTGACATCATCTGCTGATTTCTATAGTACAATGTGGAGGCAAAAACAATCAAATCAACAATTTATGAGATACGCATTGCCACGTACAGAAAAAAAAAAAAAACATTTCTTTCACCTCCGGCATTCCTGGTTGTGACGAGCAGCTTTCTAGACAACCATCCATGGTACGGTACGGTACGGTCGTCTAGACATATGATTCACATACGGCTGTGAATACTAGAGGCACCACCCGCACTGTTTCTGCAACATACGCTCCGCAAATGACACACTCCTCTCATTTCTGACAAACAAATGCAAGTAATATAATACATCCAGTTCATTCACAACATCCACTCAAAGGCACACAAACCCTGCACATAACCATATACCTCAATTCATTCACTTTCCACGTCTTGGGCACTGAGCGCCAAATATTCCAAGTAACCTTGAAAAAGGTTTAAAATAGAAGGAAAAAAAAGACATATTAATGAAATCGCATCTCGACAAGAAAAAAAACCTGTATCAATAAACCAAAAGAAACCTGCCCAGATGGTGGTGCTCACAAAATACACATCAGGAGTCAGACAACAAGTTGATGCTTGTACTGCAGAGAAACCGGTCGCACTCCCACCAGGGACATACTTTACTTTACTTTTACTTTTCCGATCCAGCGGCCATTTGGGTTCTAGCCCTTCGGTCTGTCGATATGGCAAAGAATTTGCAGGTTTTAATCAGCTGTGCTTTGTCGCTGTATAGAGTGTTTCCGATGTCTGGGGAGGCAGGTAGGTAGGTGCTACGCAGGTCACCAGGGACATCAAAGTGAACAGTTTTACGTTCCATCATTTTCGGAGCTGTCATCTAGATCGCACACAAGATACCCAGAATTTACAGGACTACATTCTTTAAAAAAAAATTTTTAAAAGATGTGAAGATACTCTGTCTCAAAAACTAAAAAATAAGCTGCATCAAAAGGAAAATAAAAATGTGAAAACTCCAAGTTATTCAGCATTTCTTGAATGTGTAGAAAATTGGCATCCTTTTTTTCCTTTTTCTTCAGAGCAAATGATCAACCAAAACTACTGACTGGATCGTGTCAACGCCAGTACACTGACTGATTCCTCACGGCTGAGACATGGGGGTTTTGCTTAATAAGAACACATCATATCACGACCAAAACAGACCAGGTTGACTGCAGTACGTACATCAACAGCAGGAAACTAGGTCATATGACAATATGAAAAGTCCAGAGTGTTTCGTAGTGGACGCATTATTAAATCCAATGAATAAAAAAAAAAAGTCTAATAATAATAAAAATACATTTGTGAAAAATATTGTGAAATGTCAAAAACAATGTTCCCGCTGGTCTCAAAATGAGATGAGTTGGGAACAGCGAAGGACGACTCTCCAGTCTTTGCCAAATCTCAGTTCAGCATATCCTGGGGAACAAAACAAAGAAATGAAATGACAAAAATGATCAAAAGTTTTCCCAAAAAAAATTTTTCAGACATTATCCAAGGACCAGAACCGTCAAGGAGTAAATTATGAAATAAAACAAAGCAAGAACATAAATCCAGATCTTTCACAACTTGACACTGATAAGAGGCACACAAAACAACCTAAGCAAATTACAGAATTAATCATAATAATAATAATAATGGATTGCATTTATATAGTGCATATCCACTTATGCAATGCTCTATGCGCTTAAAATGATACATATTATGGATTTACAAATCAATTTTAAAGGTACATAGTGTTACATACTCGTGCAAACACATATTCACTCATGCACACACCACACACACATACATTCACAACAGCTTAAGTCACACACCCCCCCCCCCCCCCCCCCCCTCCAGTATTACCGGGTCCACAGGGAACTGAGGGCTAAATATAGCTCAGTGCAGTAAGCGTTTAAACAAATTTTGAATTTCGAAGTCCCATGACAACGTTGCATGTGCTGAAGAAATATGTCGTCAAAATTCTAATTCTGAATGGGAAAAAGCAAGCAAGCATTCATAAAGTAGATAAAATTGATATCGAGCGGTGAAGTTAAAAAGCCGGACGTTTTTAAGACAGTTGTCAGGTAAACCCGAGCTTCACAAGATCGACGCTAGTCCAGTGAAGGACAGCCGTTGCCGGCTGCCGGCACCATGATGCCGGCTGGCTTTCTATTGCCTGAATTTCTGGCCACAGCCGGCAAACTTTTACCCCATAAGTTTACTCATATTCAAGTTAACTCGAACTCAAGTTTACTCGTATTCAAGTTTACTCTAGTTTATTAATACTCAAGTGTACTTAAGTTTACTCGTACTCAAGTTGAACTCAAATTCACTCATACTCAGATTTACTCAAGTTTACTCAAGTATACTAAATCTTACTAAAGTTTACACAAGTTAACTCGTACTCAAATTTACTCATGCTTACTCAAGTCGACTAGTACTCCAGTTTGCCTAAGTTTACTTGTACTCAAGTTTCCCCGTACTGAAGCTTACTGGTACTAAAGTTTACTCAAATTACTCATATTAAAGTCACTCATCTTCAAGTTTACTCAAATTTACTCATACTCAGATTTACTCACGTTTACTCAAGCTTACTTGTACTCAAGTTTATTCAAGTTTACTCAAGTTTACTTGTACTCAAGTTTATTCAAGTTTACTCAAGTTCACTGCACGAACACAGCACAATACTCACGTCATCCGAATCGTCGTGGTAGGACTTGAGCTTGGGCTTGGCCTCGCCCGGCAGCCACTTGCTGGGCTGGTGCTGTGGAGACCTGTTCTCTTGCTCCACCTGCCACGGACAGGGAGAAAGTTTTTGTTTTCGTAAGGGTTTTACAGCACTTGCAACACAATAGGGTCGAAGAATAGATGTGTTACAAGAGAGTAATATACACAACAAAGAAGTTTTTGTTTTAGTAAGAGTTTTGCAGCACTTGCAGCACAATAAGGTCATATAAGTGCCGAAGAATAGATGTGTTGCAAGAGAGTAACAAACACAAAAAAAAGAAGAGGGAGAGAGAGATAAGGACAATAGATGTTTGACAGGAAAGAAGGAGCAAACCACATCAGAGCACCATTCAACCATCCACAATGAGTAAAGAACAATTCAGAATTTATCACAAAAACAAAAGAAAACAAGACTTTTTTTTTAAAAATTAAAAAACAAAAAAACTTTTCCCTGCGTAAAAAAACATGGAAGAAAAAAACAAGTCAGATCCTTACCTCTTCGTCGGAAGACTCCTTGTAGAGAGTGTCATGGCTGACGAGAGCGTTCTCAAACTCGTCATCGCGATTGTCCGACTGGTTGAGCATGGAGTATCTGTACACCACTTTGCTGGGGACACACAGGGGCAGAAAAGGTCACTCAATTAGGGTTTTTAATTTGAGAAAGAGTATTACGCCGCTTGCAACACAATAAGGTCATATAAAAGAGCCGAAGAATAGATTACGCGTTTCAAGAGAGTAACATACACAAACAAGAAGGAAACATACCCAAAAAAGAAGAAGGAGAGATAAGGACGACCGATGTTTGATTGGAAAGAAGGAGCAAACCACACCAGAGCACCCGCCAACCACCCACTCAACTAGGGTTTGAAAAACATTGTTCCGTTTTACGTCCCAACCCACACAATAATTTTGTTTTCAATTAGCATTCGGATCCAGCCACCATTTGGGATCTAGCCCTTCGGTTTGCACAATTAGCATTCAAGCTGAAGGGCTCCCAACTCAAATGGCCGTAGGATCAGAGAAAGACCATGGTATGTCTGTGTCTGTATTGCTGTAACATTGAGTATTTATGTCTGTATTTATGTACTGTATGTATGTATTTCTAATTATGTAGTAACGTACGTATGTTTGCCATTGTAAAAATTGAAAAACAAATATCCCCCACGGGATCAATAAAATGTAATTCTTTATTGTCATTATTTATTATAAGCACAGCTGCAAGCTACTCAAAGCCAAAATACAAAACTCCACCCATGTGGCAGGTCAAAATGGTCTGGTAGGCATTGGCCAAGCAAACCTCTCCTACTCCCTCCCCCCTCCCCCTCCAAACTCTTCACACACACCTCTTTCCTGGTCCCAATAAATCCAAGCTATTCAAAGCAAAGCACACACAGCAAAAACAATGGGAGAAACGGTACGGGACACCACTCCCAATAACTCAAAGGCAGCATCCTTTTCATTTTTAGTTTAGTTTTAGTAAGAGTTTTACGGCACTTGCAGAAACATAAGGTCATATCAGTGGTGAAGAGTAGAGGTGTTACAATAGAGTAACATAAAGTTAGCAAGAAAATGGCCGCCAAAGTTTGGTGACTTCTAAAGCTTAAGAGTCCTTGAAAACTAAAAAATTACATTTTTTGTGCCTTTAATCAACATTATTCAGAAAAATCAACACAGAAGAAACGTGCTTTTAAATGGACATAAGAGATGTTGAACCAAAAGAATAAAATTTGAAAACAATAATTGCCAAACTCCCAGAAGAATGCTGGTTTCTTTCATTTCCTAATTTTGACGAACGCCTGACAGACCAAGTCGTTTCACATATTTAATACATTTTTACACACTAGCAGGCACCTCTATGACTCAGAAAGCCGGCTGTTTCGTCCCTGCCCGAAAGGATCTGCACGGCCTGAATTGGATACAACATCCGGGAGGCAGACAGACAGATAGACGGACGTGCTTGACTTTTTAATTATTTTTTTTTGGGGGGGGGGGTGGTGGTAACTTCCCCGCTCGAGAATCGAACCCTAGTTCTCTACCACAGGCACCAGTGAAGGGCAAGCTGCTACGTCACCACAGATGCCAGATTTGAGGTGAAAGTTGAAAGTGACGACTAACGGTATATCAGGTGCATAGGTGAGTAAGTAAATAAATAACAAGCACACAAAGCGTTCATTTCCAAAAGGGTGAACATCAAACAAAAGTGTTAGTGTAAGGAAGGAAGGAGGGAGGGAAGGAGGAAGGGAAGGAAGGAAGGGGAGAGGGAAGGAAGGAAGGGGGGAGGGAAGGAAGGAGGGAAGCAAGGAAGGAGGAAAGAAAGGAGGAAAGAAAGAAAGAATGAATGAAAGAAAGAAAGAAGAAAGAAAGGGAGACAGAAAGAAAAGAAAGACAGAAAGGCCCAGCAAATATACCGAGGTTTGGTTAGTGATGAGAAAAAGGGCATTCTTTTTCTTCCTCTTCTCCTCTCCTCCTTCTCCTCCTCCTCCTCCTCTTCCTCCTCCATCATCATGTGGTTTCGGCGTCTGGTCAAATGAAATGATACAACTACAAAAACAAGCGAACAGAGGCAAAAATCTGAAATGAGGATATTACGATATCAATCCTTTCATCTCGTTGTGCAGCAAAACGGAGACTGAAAAAATCGAAGGACAGTAAAAAACAAACCTGACAAGAAAAGCGAGCGCAATAACGCATGATTTCAGCACTGACTTCTATTTGAGGAACTGGTGATCCAGCCATAGTTTGAGGTCAAAGCCGTCAATTTTGAGCTGCCACATGAAAAATTGTTTGGTCTCAGCCGTCAATTTTGAGCTGCCACATGAAAAATTGTTTGGTCTCAGCCGTCAATGTCCGCTGCCCATATAAATACTGTTCGATATTCCTAGAACTGTGTACATCCACATCACAGAACGTTTCCTGCGGAAGGTTGTGGCGGCAACAGCTTTGCCTCTGCCCGTACAGATTACACGGATGCCACTACGGAAACTTAGCAGAAATACCCCCAAAAAATGTTTGCGAAGCTGCATTTGCAAGCAAAAAGACAAACAATAGAAGTAAGTAATATGTGGTGAAACAGAACACAGGTGCTTAGAATAATAGCTGTTCTACGTGTGAAAATATTGGTAATAAGGTGAGGTGGGGGGGGGGGATAAAAAACCGGAAAAAGGCTTAGTTGAGGTAAGGAAAAGTAAGGAAAATTCCTTCCCTTAGAATTACAACGTTCTATCTGACATTCTCAGCCATTTTGAGTTACTAGGAACATGAAGTCAGATTCCAAACGTTCTCTGCTCTATCAAAATTATAAGATTTTTCGGAGTCGTTATCTAGATAGTCAAAGAATTGCGTTAGAAAAAGCTCGACTTGTTGTGAAACTCAAAATGCTTAACGTCAAATTTCTCAACCCCAGGTAATGAGCAGTGAGAACTTTGTAATTCTGAGGTGGTAATAACCAGAGCACCCACCAGCCACCCACGAGAGGAAAAGTTTAATTAAGTAAAAGTTTTACAGCACTTGCAACACGATAAGGTCATATAAGTGCTGAAGATTAGAGGTGTTACAAGTAACAAAAATATATAGATACAAAAAAGGAGAGATAAGGTCGATAGATGTTTGATAGAAAAGACGGAGCAAATCACATCACCAGAGCACCCACCAGCCACCCAGGAGAGGAAAAAGGTGCAGGCCACCAAAAAAAGCTTCTGAGAGAAGAAGAAGAAGAAGGAGCAGACATTATAGCGCTCACAAAAGACAGAAGAAAAGAGCAGGGAGCGACAGAGCACCTTGGAACCACTTGAAAAAATGAAGAAAAACCCACTAGAGGAGCACCCATCAGCCTCCCTCCAAAAGAAGGAGGACCTACCACACAAGAGCGTTTATTAACAAAATCGGCAAAAAGAAGCGGAAGGAGCAGAACACACCAGTACATCCAACAACCACTCGTTATCAAAATCGGTGAAATGAGACAACGGAAAGACAAAAGAGGAAGACGAGGAGAACAAGTAGGAAGAGGAAGACAAGAACAAGAAAAAGAAGAAAAAGAAGAACAAGAACAAGAAAAAGAAGAAAAAGAAGAACAAGAAGAACAAGAAGGAAAGCAGCAATAACAAGAACAACAACACCCCCACACAACCAAACATCATCAGTTTTCAGGAAAAAATAAATCAATACAAAGAGTGGGAGATGGGGAAAAAAAGCAAAAAACAAAAACACACCAAAAAAAATTAAAATACAAAAACAAAACCCAAACACTCACTGTCTGCGCAGCAAGACCAGCTTGTAGCCAAAGAAACCTCCGACAATCACCATGACCACCAGCATGACCATCACGATGGACACCACCACGACCTTGGTGGTGGCCATACCCTGGGGGAGAGACGGATAACGGAAACATAACAATGATGGAATCCGTTCTTTGCTGCCAAAGTAAATTCATTATTCTTTTTTTAGTTTTAGTAGAGGTTTCATGGCGCTCGCAACTGCATAAGGTCATATGAGCGCCAAGGGGTGGATGTCAACAGAGAAGTCCTTACAGGGAATCAGACTTATACTCTGCTAATCTCTCTAGCTTCAACAACACAAAGTCTGTTTCAACTATCAAGGCGCCCCGGAAATAGAGGGTCACAAGAGTGTGACAAACATACAAAAGAAGTAGAGGGAAAATGACAATAGTAAGGATTAGGAAAGAAAAAGCAGCAATTCCCTGTTGCAGTTCAGGCACAGTTATGAGCATGACATTTATGAATCAGCCCATTTACAATTTACAATTTTACTAGACTAACATACTAGGCGAGTCAAAAAGTAATGCAAGTTAGTTCATAACTTAAAGAAAAAAAAACACACTAGCATTTACAATACCTCAAATTGAAGGGGAGCATCTGAGGATCAGATTTTTATTTCTCAACATAGTCTCCATTTCGTTCAATAGCCACTGTCCACCTTTTTCTAAGTCCACATATGCCAGCTGCGTAAAACTGCGCAGGTTGGTGGTAGGGGTACAGCAGTCTTGATTTCTCAATTGTTTCCATAGTGTTGACCTTTCAATGGTTTTTTTCTAGGACCAAAAATGTGGAAGTCTAAAGGAGCCAAATCGGGAGATTAAGTTTAGTGTGGCAGTGTTTTCCACAATAACGGGGTGATCGCCTCCCTTGTTCTGGTACTCGAATGCAAGCGGAATTTTCATGGTGAAAAAACACTCTTTCCGAATTCAAATTTGGCCTGACTATTCGAATTCTCGCTTACAGTTGTTTCAACGATTCACTGCAGGGTTCACAATTGACAGTTGCCCCTCGTGGTGAAGAAAAAATCAGTGAGAAGCACGCTATGAACGTTAGTGCTGGGCGGATGAGTTCCCGATTCTTGAAAGCTAGGAATCTTCGGAATCGACTCCGAACCCAATTACTTATTTTCTAATGATGTGATTTTTTTTCCGGTGGTTACCTTATTGGCTCCGAACGTCTTCAGGATTTAGGTTAACCTTGATTTCGGAACACTACGAAGCATCAACTTTTATTTTTCAAAAATAGATTCTTTAAAAAAAGAAATTTTTAATGATAAAACCGTTGGTTTACGTAAAAAGGAGAAGGAACACACGGGTCCTCCGAGATTTTTCACCTTTGTCCGAGAACGCTAGGTGTAGATCTTTCCTATCAGAAGATCAGGGGTGTGGCAGAAAGACAGCAGTAAGGAGGAGCCAAGGAGTAGCAGTAGAAAGAAAGGGCACATTCTGGGGTAAGGGAAACACAAGTGTCAATCAAAATCTGACAGAACGTATTCCGTGTAGGAGAAACACAGCAATGATGGAATGTGTTCTGGGTTTAAGAATCACAACACGTATCTGTCAAAATCTATGATGGAACGAGTTTCTGGGTTAAACAATTAATAATAATAATAAGAGCATTTGTATCCCGCCTTTCCCCACAGCATGGGCCCAAGGCGTACATAGGAGATTAAAAACGCATTCATACTAACACCATACAAATTCATCATGTGCGCACTTTTTGACAGCAACATTCTTTCAGACAATAAAAAATGCTTATACAAAAAGGCAAAGGTACTGACCATCAAATAAAATATTTCTTAAATAGATGTGTTTTGAGTCCCCTTTTGAAGGTATCAAGTTGATGGTGTGTATGGTACAACGAGTTCTTGAAAGTATGAGGGAGACTGGTTAGTTTGACCTTTGAAGCATAGTAGGGCTAACTTATATTCAATTCTCGCTTTCAGTGGAAGCCAATGGAGCTCTTTACGTAGGGGAGTCACATGATGGTGTGTTGATTGCTTAATACTAGCCTGGCAGCATTACAATATGTATCTGTCAAGAACAATGATGGAGCGAGTTCCGGAGGAAGCGAAACACACAACAATGAAGGAATGTGTTCTGGAAGGAAAAGGGAAAAAGACAACACTGCCGTAAGCTGACAAAACCCCTTTTTTTTTCACTTTCGGAACCAATGTTTTTATTTGCTAAATCGAAAGCCTGATCAGTTACCCTACTTGTATGAAAATCATCAAAGTGCAACTGTGACTAGTTTTTTAATAAACCTAGAATTCAAATTTTAGAAGAATGACTTTTTTTAATGGTTACGCCAACTAAAAAATCACTATATCTCGAAACTGCTATGAATATTATTGTGGTTGTTATCAGTCCAGCAACAGCAGGGCTCTAGCCTTTCTGTCCAATGCCAAGTAGTCATAAGTGCAGGTTTGCTGCAGCTACTGTAATGTTTCATAGAGTGTGTTGTCAACGTTAGGTCTCGGAGGGAGAAGGGTAGATGTGAATATTAAAAAAGGCATTTTGTCAGGTTACCACAAAAAACGTATAAATCTACAAAAATTACGGATTGAGTTCCAAGCCCCCTTTCTCTAAAACGTTCCGTGGTTTACCTCATCGACTGGCTCCATGTCCCCAGCGATCGGTGCCTTACTCCCCTCGCCACAGATGCCTTCCTCTGTGATAGTCAAGCTCTTGGGTTGGAATTTGCCCGGTTTGCATTTAGTGCCTGGAACCAGGCGGTAGCTGAAAGACACAGAAAAGATGCTTGTTTGTTTGTTTTAGTACAGGATTTACGGCGCTCGCAACTGCATTAGGTCATACGAGCGCCAAGGGGAGGATGTCAACAGAGAAGTCTTTACAGGGAATCAGACTTACTCTGCACACCTCTCTCGCTTCAACAACACAAAGTCTGTTTTTGTTTTTGTAAAGTGTTTTACGGCGCTCGCAACTGCATAGGTCATATGAGCGCGCGGAACACACCTAATATTTTCAGTTGGTAGGAAATTTTGAATTTTGCCCGGGTGGCCGCCGAAGCCTACTCTTATCGATTTTAGACCACCAAGGGATCTTTAACGTGCGCAACTTGCACACGGGCCCTCCGAGATTTTTCGCCCTTGTCCGAGAAGGCTAGGTGTAGATCTTTCCTACCAGAAGATCAGGGGTGTGGCAGAAAGACAGCAGTAAGGAGGAGCCAAGGAGTAGCAGTAGAAAGGCTGCAGAAAGAGTCAGGAGCCCAGAGGAGGGGGCAAAGGAGGTGAGGGGGTGGGGGCAGAAAGTGGAAATGAAAGCAGACAACAGAACATTGTTAGAGATCAGGAAAGGATGTGAAAGGAGACAATTTTAGAGAAGAAATTTTTTGGTCGCTACCCGGAATCGAACCCGGGACCTTTGAATGAGAGGCCAACACCTTAACCTCTAGGCCACGAGAGCCCCACACAAAGTCTGCTTCCACTATCAAGGAATGCGTGTGAAAAATATACAAAAGAAGTAGAGAAAAAAAAACGATAGTAAGGATTAGGAAAGAAAAAGCAGTAGGTCCCTGTAGTAGTTCAGGCACAGTTATGAGCATGACATTGTTGGATCAGCCCATTTACAATTACAATTCTACTGTGCATTAGAACGAGAAATGTCCCCCCCCTTTGAGAATGGCCTAAAGACACCTTAACCTCTAGGCCATGAGACGATCACAACTGCATAAGGTCAAATGAACGCAAGCAGATTAGAGGTGTTACAAGAGAGTAACAAACATAAAAAAGAAGAAGGGGAGATAAGGACGATGTTTGAGAGGACAGAAGAAGCAAACAACACCAGAGCACCCGCCAACCACCCACAGTAAGTGTGTAACTGCACTTGCAACACAATAAGGTCATACAAGTGCCGGAGATTCGAGGTGTGACAAGGGAGTAGCAAACACAACAAAGAAGGAGGGGAGATAAAGATGATAGACGTTAGAAAAGAAAGAGCAAACCACACCAGAGCACTCGCCAACCACCCACGCTACCAAGCGTTGTCACCACTGCCAAAAGTAGAATATAATGTGTGGCGTCCTGGTAATAACAGGCCCTCATTAAACAATGACATCAAAGAAACCCAACGTTTTTCCTTTCCCTGCCCATTGAGCTATTTCCATCACATTTCTGGTTTTGGGCTCTTTACCATTTAAGTCCATTCAAAAATGCATTTCTGGGTGAATTTTACTGAAAAATGGGTCAAGGCGAGGAGGAATCAGGGGCTCGTCAATTTTTGGGCATCTGAAGTTATTGATATCATCATAAAGCTTGTACATTTGCCTTGCTTTAGATTTTAAAAATACCCATTTATCTTGAACAAAATTCGAGATATTTGTTATTGAAGGAAGTGGAGATCGCTTGGTTTCAGAGATAAAATTAGTGAGAAAATGGTTGCCAAAATCTTGTTATTTACATAGCCAGAGAGTCCACGGAAAATGATAATTTACATTTTTTTGTGCCTTTAATCAACATTTTTCAGTAAAACCCACACAGAACTGGGTTCATAAGTGGACAGGAGTGTTCAGCCCAAAAAAAATTTCCCATAAAATTTGCCAAACCGGAGGAAAATGCCAATTTCTTCAATTTCCATATTTTGACGAGCGCCTGATTTCACCACGCCCCCTCACAAATGTAACATTCAGAGACATGTAGCACACAGGCAGTGACAACAACAACAAAAAAAGTACTGTTGAAATTTCCCAGCACGTCCACCCACTATCAAGAGAAAGAAGAGGTTGTCTTAGACAGGTGGCATTTTGGACAGAGCCATAACAATACAGAAAAAAAAATTCCAGGTGGTAGGTGATAGTTTGTGAAGATGATTGTCTTGGAGAGGTGGTTTTTAGAGCAGGATCAATGGTGCATGCCAGGCATCGTGGTGAAATCAGTTTGGGTTTGTTTTTTTCGATTTGTTTTCTTTTTTTTTGACCTATCATCTTTCATGTCCATTTAAAAATACATTCTTTGTGGATTTTACAGGAAAGCGTTCATCAAAGGAACAAAAAAAATGTAAATTTGCAGTTTCCAAGAACACTCAAACTTTGGAAGACATCAAACTTTGGCAGCCATTTTCTTGCTAATTTTACCTCCGACACCTCACCTCCTTCAGCCTCAACTATCTCGACTTCTACTCAAGGTAGAAGGGAATTTTACTCATCAAAAGGAAGACAAAGTAACAAGTTTTCAGATGATACCAATAACTCTAAACGTCCCAAAAATTGACGAGCGCCTGATTCCGGCACGTGGTAAGACAAATATAAACGGGAAAACACACCAGCACTCACCCGACAGTTTCCAGCTTGATCAATTTTCCGTTTTCACAGATGTCCAGCTCCTCCGCTTTGATGTCCGGCTGGCGCCTACAGGTTGTAGACCCCGTTGGACGATAGAATCCGAAATCACTGAAAGATTGG